GAGAATTCTGCTGAATGTCAGAAAGCAAAAGCAATTGCAAATAAAATTACTTCAGTGATAAAAGATGTGGAAGGGTATAAAAAGGAAACATTGAAATTACAGGGAGATCTGTGGAAGGAATTGTCTAAAGTAGAAAAAGAACTTTGCAGAATGACGAAACGAGGGAAAAGAGATGCACAAGAATATCAATCTGAGCTCAAACAACAGATCAGATCACTCCACGAAAAACAATACCAGCATGACATTCCTGTAGGCATAGTGCATTTTACTGAAGCAATTACTGACCTCTCCAAGTCTGAAAAACATTATTTCTTGAAATGGATGAAATTTGAACTGGATTCAGTTGTAAGAAATAACATTTCCTTGTTGCAGGCTGAATACAAGGCAAAATGTAAAAGTAAATCATATATGTCAGAACTTAAACAGCTGGATCAGAGAATCTCAGACAGTTCTTTAGGAATAGAACATTTCCTATGTGAGCTGGGACAGTTTTATGAGGCTGAGTATTCCACAGTTGTTAACAAACAGAAAAATAAAACCACAAGACAATTCACTAAACTTCCAGGAATTGCTGCTGATCTCCTACTAGATGGGTTCCCATTAGAGTTGATTGATGGCGACGCCTCTAATATTTCTTTACAGTGGATAACTGATGTTCTGACTGAGCTAGACAATAAGACAGGAGGACAATGCAAAATGAGAGTAATCACAGTGCTGGGAGTGCAGAGTACAGGGAAGTCCACACTTCTGAACACCATGTTTGGTCTGCAGTTACCAGTGGCCAGTGGAAGATGCACACGAGGAGCCTTCATGACTCTTCTGAAAATAAAAGAGAACTTCCGAGAGGAGCTGGACTGTCACTTCATCTTGGTGATTGACACCGAGCCGCTGAAATCTCCAGAGTTGGAGGACAGTTATGAACATGACAATGAAATGGCCACACTGGTGGTGGGGCTGAGTGATATCACCATCATCAACATGGCCATGGAAAACACATCAGAAATGAAGGATATTTTACAGATTGTGGTCCATGCTTTTCTTCGGATGAAAGAAATCAGGAAGAAACCCAGCTGTCAGTTTGTACATCAGAATGTCAGTGATGTATATGCTCATGAAAAGAACATGAGAGACAGGAAGAAATTTCTAGAACAACTTGATGAAATGACAAAAGTAACTGCAAATATGGAGAAGAAACGTGGAATTACCTGTTTCAGTGATGTGATGGATTATGATCCCGAGAAACATAACTGGTACATTCCTGGACTGTGGCAAGGAGATCCACCAATGGCGCCGGTAAACTTTGGCTACAGTAAAAATGTTTATGAATTAAAGAAATATATGCTGGGATTTTTAAAATCTACAAATTCTAATAGAATTCAATGCAAAATCCCTGACTTCATCACATGGATAAAAAGTTTGTGGAGCTCAGTGAAACATGAGAAATTCATCTTCAGTTTCAGAAACAGTCTGGTGGCAGAAGCTTATACCAAGCGGTCTATGCAATACTCTCTGTGGGAATGGGACTTCACCAAAAAGATCCATAGCTGGATGATCACCAAAGAAACTTACATCAGAAATCAATCCGCAGCCAGTCTCAGTGCTGAGATTTGCATGCAGTTTAAAGTTGATCTTCAGTGTTTACTGTCAGAAGAGGAAGATGCAATGCTGAAGCTACTGGAAATGTATTTTGACAGCAAATGTGAGAATGTTTATCTCATTGAACGATACAAAGAGGATTTCTTCATAAGTGTGAGATTCCTGAAGAAAGAACTGGAAAGGAAAGCGCTTAATACACTCAATGAGGCAGTTTCAATCCAGAAAGGCAAATTCAAGATTCCGGATATTCAGAAGACATCTCGGGAACTGATATAGAAAGAGATAACAAATCTCCTAAAAAAACTGCAGAGAAAGAAATTGTGAACTTGGTGATAAGGAGGCAAAGCAAGAATTTGAAGAGATGTGGAAGAAAACCCTCTCTGATGATTTACAAATAGAGGAGCTAACAAGACGTAACATTGGACAAATGATTCTGCGGCAGCTTAAGAATGAAATGGGTGTAAAGGGAGGCGGTATTAATGAAAACCTAACCAAAGTAATGAGCTTGGATGACTATGGGATCAATCCATTTGTTCCTGAAAAAAGCCACATTGAAACGGCATTTCTTTCCTAAAATCGCAATGTATTCTATATATAAGTCAGGCATACCTGGACAAGATAGAAGGTCTTGCAATGACTCTGATAGACATGTGTGACACATACATCAAAGAGAAGGCAGGCACCACGGGGGATTATGATGATACTTACTTTCAGGATTTGCTACACATGATCAATGATAAACTCAAAGACAAAACTACTCAAAAATGTCACTTTTCTCCCAACTTTGAGCTAGATGTAAAACTTTTTATCTTTGGAAGAGCATCTAGAGCATTTCACGAGAAACATGACAGGTTCATTCAAGAAAACGACCCCAAAATTTGCCTTGGAAAATTAAAACCTCAATATTTGGCCACATTTGAGAGCATATTCCATGAAAAAGATGAGTGCCAGAGCAGGGCCAAAAAATTCTGTGAGCTCTGCCTGAAGCCGGCGCTAACTGATTATATTCTGCAACATCTTGGTGAGGAAATCATTGACATAATTTTACAAAGTTCTGACGGTCACATATTTAGTAGTAGAAGTGCTTTTCAGTTAACTGTGCTGGAGGACTTACTGAAGAAAAACAAATTTAAACAATATAATTCCTACAATAATGATTATAAGACCTTTTTGAAAGACTGGATCTCTCAGTACATTACTGAGAAATACTGGAATCCAGAAACTCTGAAACCCTTAGAAGAAGAAGTTTTATTTCCAGTCATTGAAAAAATTGAAGAAGTCCTGAAGAGTGAGGAATGTGTGAAAACAGACACCATTTTGACATTTCTGGAATGTTTCTGCAAGTCACTAGACAAAGAAATCGTGATGTCACAGAATGAAATGACAATGATCACTTTCCACAATACAGCAAATGTCAGCCAGTTCTCTGAGGCCATTCTTTACTATCTTCCCAGCATAATGGAGCCCATTTTATCAGATACAGAATTGTCAGACATTGAACGTCTTCTCTCCAGAGTCACACTGAAGCCTCAGGAGGAATTGTTGAAGAAAGTGATTGGTTGCGGTAAGCAGTGTCCATTCTGTAAGGTCCCTGTGAGAATGCTGGAGGTGATCACCAGGAGCACGCTGCATCTCTCCATAGACCCCGGGGACTGGGAAGATACAGATTGATCGAAGATAAGACTTTAGTCACTGACATCTGTTCCACTGCTGTGGTATCTAACAATACATTTAGAAATTCTGACACAGAAGGAAAAAGATCACCCATATAAAGACTACCGTACATACTATCCAGATTGGGCAATTCAGCCTGACCCCAGCTTCAAATCCTCAGATTACTGGAAATACATTTTTGTACGTTTTAACAATGACTTTGCAGATGAATATTCTTCAAAACCAGCTGAACTTCCAAAAGACTGGATGGAAATCACAGAAGAACAGGCTCTTGCAAGTTTACAGGAATCTTTTACAATCAAATGAAAATGACATGACTGTAGTTGTGTTATCACTCACATATACAATATATACAGTATGTTGGTTTTGAACATTACAGATTTGTTTTTCTGAATATAGTTTTAGTATGGTGACTCTCATTAGCCTGAGGCTGCATTCACATTTGAGCGATTTCTAGCTATGATGCCTGTTTACAGCTGACCACATGAACAGGCACCATAGAGAACAATTGATTTTTAAGTTTGAGCATTTTTGGAGCTTCGAGTTTCAGGCTTCAAATCACCCAATTGTGAATGCAGCTTAAGATCTTCATTTTTATACTCTGACATTTGCACCAAAAACGTCTCCTGCAATTAGAAAGGGCTGGTGCCATTGAACAAAAAAGAAAAAATCTGGTATGGGAATATTATTAGTATTATAGAGGATTTATATGCCAACAGTTTGCTCAGCGCTTTACAACATGAGGGCAGGCAGTACAGTTACAATACAATTTTAATACAGTAGGAATCAGAGGGCCCTGCTCCTCAGAGCTGACAATCTAAAACAATATGGCTGGATTGTGTGCATTGGGGCTGCATTCAGGTCATTGTGATGCATTAATGCGTGTGTGTTGATGCACTTTATGCCACGTATTAACATGCATTGTATTAAGGCAGCACTTTCATTTGAATGAGCTCCCTAGTGAACCAGAATGCACCAAACATGGATATGAACTTTTTTGTAATGCAGCACGCCACAACACATGGAAGTACATTACTGTGTATTGCAGTGCAGTACAATGTAAGTCCATCAGCAAGTTGGGCTAGGAAGCCATTCCAAATGAATAGCACTGCATGGCACCAACATGGACCCCACCACTGCCACTCTCCATCTGTCTAACGGATGCCAGACCCTGCCATTAGTTCTCTCACCAGTTCTGGAAGTGTTAGGAATGGACTGGCCAGCAATGGTGGGACTCACCTGCCTTTTGATCTGCAGTACCAGGGCTGGCCAGCGGGTGCTCCCAGCAATCAGAGACTCAACCTTTCAGCCAGCTAACACCTGGAACTGATGATACTGGTGTATTTAAGGGTTGGCCAGACTTGCAGACTCTGCCTTGGTGTTGTGTTTGTCCTGGGCCCTGTATCTGTCCTGCATCCTGTTCCTGTTCCTTTGCTGACTTCTCCTGCTCTGATCCTGGCTTGTGACCCGGACCATCCCTCTGTCTGACCCTCTGTACTATGCTGCTTGCTACCTGCTGAACCTGGCCTGTGACCCCGACTATTCTCCGCTTGCTCCCCCTGTACCTACCTGCCCTATTGATATTGACCCGGCCTGCCTGACGACGCTTGCTTGTATGTACTGTTATCTGTGGGTGGTTGGTTGGTTTGTTTGCACTGTATTATGTTTAGTATTGCACTGCGTTTATGTTTGTACTGTTAGTCTTTAATAAATTATATTGTTTATAACATATCTGAGGTCTGCGTTTCCCTGCTTCAGTCACACACCTCTGTCAGACGATCCAATGTCTGACCCAGTGCCCGCGGTCATACCAGTTGACTCGGAGCCCACTGCCTTGCCAGATGACGCGGTGCCCGCTGACAAGCCAAATGACCTGATGCCTGGTGACCCAGTGCCCGCTGTCATACCTGGTGACCCGATGCCCGCTGTCGAGCCAGACAATCCGGTACCTGATGCCCCGGTGCTCACTGTCGTGCCTGTTGACTCGGAGCCCACTGCCTTGCCAGATGACGCGGTGCCCGCTGTCGAGCCAAATGACCTGATGCCTGGTGACCCAGTGCCCGCTGTCCAGTCAGACGATCCAATGTCTGACCCAGTGCCGCGGTCATACCAGTTGACTCGGAGCCCACTGCCTTGCCAGATGACGCGGTGCCCGCTGACAAGCCAAATGACCTGATGCCTGGTGACCCAGTGCCCGCTGTCATACCTGGTGACCCGATGCCCCGCTGTCGAGCCAGACAATCCGGTACCTGATGCCCCGGTGCTCACTGTCGTGCCTGTTGACTCGGAGCCCACTGCCTTGCCAGATGACGCGGTGCCCGCTGTCGAGCCAAATGACCTGATGCCTGGTGACCCAGTGCCCGCTGTCCAGTCAGACGATCCAATGTCTGACCCAGTGCCCGCGGTCATACCAGTTGACTCGGAGCCCACTGCCTTGCCAGATGACGCGGTGCCCGCTGTCGAGCCAAATGACCTGATGCCTGGTGACCCGATGACCCGATGCCCCGCTGTCCAGCCAGACGATCCAATGTCTGACCCAGTGCCAGCGGTCATCCCAGTTGACTCGGAGCCCACTGTTGTGCCTGGTGACTCGGTGCCCGCCGCCCCCGCCTGGGGGCCCCGATGACCTGTCGTTCCGCCTGAGGGCCCGAGACCTGTCGCTCCACCTGGGGTCCCGCCCGCGCCCGCCTGGGGGTCCCGCTCCGCCTGAGGGCCCGAGACCTGTCGCTCCACCTGGGGGTCCGGCGCCCGCCGCTCCGCCTGAGGGCCCGAGACCTGTCGCTCCCGCCTGGGGGTCCGGCGCCCGCCGCTCCGCCTGGGGCCCGAGACCTGTCGCTCCCACCTGGGGGTCCGGCGCCCGCCGCTCCGCCTGAGGGCCCGAGACCTGTCGCTCCATCTGGGGGTCCCGGCGCCCGCCGCTCCGCCTGAGGGCCCGAGACCTGTCGCTCCTCCTGGGGGTCCGGCGCGCCCGCCGCTCCGCCTGAGGGCCCGAGACCTGTCGCTCCACCTGGGGGTCCGGCGCCCGCCGCTCCGCCTGAGGGCCCGAGACCTGTCGCTCCAGCTGGGGGGGTCCGGCGCCCGCCGCTCCGCCTGAGGGCCCGAGACCTGTCGCTCCGCCTGGGGGTCCGGCCCGCCCGCCGCTCCGCCTGAGGGCCCGAGACCTGTCGCTCCTCCTGGGGGTCCGGCGCCTGCCGCTCCGCCTGAGGGCCCGAGACCTGTCGCTCCACCTGGGGGTCCGGCGCCCGCCGCTCCGCCTGAGGGCCCGAGACCTGTCGCTCCAGCTGGGGGTCCGGCGCCCGCCGCTCCGCCTGAGGGCCCGAGACCTATCGCTCCGCCTGGGGCCCGGCGCCCGCCGTTCCGCCTGAGGGCCCGAGACCTGTCGCCCCGCCTGGGGGGGGCCCGATGCTTGTCGCCCCGCCTGGGGGCCCGATGCCTGTCGCCCCGCCTGGGGGTCCGGCGCCTGTCGCCCCGCCTGGGGGCACGAGGCCTGTCGCCCCGCCTGGGGGCCCGATGCCTGTCGCCCCGCCTGGGGGCCCGATGCCTGTCGCCCCGCCTGGGGGCCCGATGCCTGTCGCCCCGCCTGGGGGCCCGATGCCCTGTCGCCCCGCCTGGGGGTCCGATGCCTGTCGCCCCGCCTGGGGGCCCGATGCCTGTCGCCCCGCCTGGGGGCCCGATGCCTGTCGCCCCGCCTGGGGGCCCGATGCCTGTCGCCCCGCCCGGGGGCCCGGCGCCTGTCGCCCCGCCTGGGGGCCGAGGCCTGTCGCCCCGCCTGGGGGCCCGATGCCTGTCGCCTCGCCTGGGGGGGCCCGATGCCTGTCGCCCCGCCTGGGGGGCCCGAGGCCTGTCGCCCCGCCTGGGGGGCCGATGCCTGTCGCCCCGCCCGGGGGCCCGAGGCCTGTCGCCCCGCCCGGGGGCCCGAGGCCTGTCGCCCCGCCCGGGGGCCCGGTGCCTGTCGCCCGCCCCGCCCGGGGGCCCGGTGCCTGTCGCCCCGCCCGGGGGCCCGGTGCCTGTCGCCCCGCCCGGGGGCCCGGTGCCTGTCGCCCCGCCCGGGGGCCCGGTGCCTGCTGCTCCGCCCGGGGGCCCGGTGCCCTGCTGCTCCGCCCGGGGGCCCGGTGCCTGCTGCCCGCCCGGGGCCGGTGCCTGCTGCTCCGCCCGGGGGCCCGGTGCCTGTCGCCCCGCCCGGGGGCCCGGTGCCTGTCGCCCCCGCCCGGGGGCCCGGTGCCTGCTGCTCCGCCCGGGGCCCGTGTGCCTGCTGCTCCGCCCGGGGGCCCGGTGCCTGCTGCCCCGCCCGGGGGCCCGGTGCCTGCTGATCCGCCCGGGGGCCCGGTGCCTGCTGCTCCGCCTGGTGGCCCGCTGCCTGCTGCTTCGCCTGGTAATCCGATGTGCCTCTGCCCGGAGTCCTGCCCGATGTGCCTCTGCCCGGAAGTCCTGCCCGATGTGCCTCTGCCCGGAGTCCTGCCCGATGTGCCTCTGCCCGGAGTCCTGCCCGATGTGCCTCTGCCCGGAGTCCTGCCCGATGTGCCCTGCCCGATGTGCCCTGCCCGATGTGCCTCTGCCCGATGTGCCTCTGCCCGGAGTCCTGCCCGATGTGCCTCTGCCCGGAGTCCTGCCCGATGTGCCTCTGCCCGGTGTGCCTCTGCTCGATGTGCCCTGCCCGGAGTCCTGCCCGGTGTGCCTCTGCCCGGAGTCCAGCCCGGTGTGTGCCGCTGCCCGGAGTCCTGCCCGGTGTGCCAGTCTTTGATATCCCGCCAGTTGCCAGACCCGGGCGGTGGAACATTTTGCCCAGCTAGGACTGTTTGGAGCGTCCTGAGGCCGCTCCTTGAGGGGGGGGGGGGGGTACTGTTAGGAATGGACTGGCCAGCAATGGTGGGACTCACCTGCCTTTTGATCTGCAGTACCAGGGCTGGCCAGCGGGTGCTCCCAGCAATCAGAGACTCAACCTTTCAGCCAGCTAACACCTGGAACTGATGATACTGGTGTATTTAAGGGATGGCCAGACTTGCAGACTCTGCCTTGGTGTTGTGTTTGTCCTGGGCCCTGTATCTGTCCTGCATCCTGTTCCTTTCTGTTCCTTTGCTGACTTCTCCTGCTCTGATCCTGGCTTGTGACCCTGACCATTCCTCTGTCTGACCCTCTGTACTACGCTGCTTGCTACCTGTTCTGATCCCTGGCTTGTGACCCGGACCATCCCTCTGTCTGACCCTCTGTACTATGCTGCTTGCTACCTGCTGAACCTGGCCTGTGACCCCGACTATTCTCCGCTTGCTCCCCCTGTACCTACCTGCCCTATTGATATTGACCCGGCCTGCCTGACGACGCTTGCTTGTATGTACTGTTATCTGTGGGTGGTTTGGTTTGGTTTGTTTGCACTGTATTATGTTTTAGTATTGCACTGCGTTTATGTTTGTACTGTTAGTGTTAATAAATTATATTGTTTATAACATATCTGAGGTCTGCGTTTCCCTGCTTCAGTCACACACCTCCACTAGGTTCCTTCTTCCGGTAAATGCCTTGTTTGCCCTTGCGCCATATACGCCACTGATTACCACAATGCCACAGTGTGGACGAACCCCAAGTTCCAAGAGCCTTGTGAACACTGCATTGCATTGTGGAGGAGAGCATTAAGATCTAAGGAGTCATTCTAATTGTTCTACCAGTTCTAACAACCACCCCAAATGTTTGCATATTTTAATAGCTACTGTACAAAAATGAAAAAGAGAAATGACCAGAGAAGCAATGACCAAGGAAATCGTCTAATGCAAAAGGATCTTACATACAGTACAATCCTCCATCACCCAACACCGCCTATCCAATAGCCATAGTGCCATGTCAGTGTGGAGTTCCTTTCTCACTTCAAAAAATGAAAAAATGATCCATGTGATCTGCTGAAGAGTCTTTTTTTGTAGAAGCAGGTGATTTTAGTATGAAATATTTTATGGCTTTTGCTTACTTAAAAGTTTCATAATTAAACAGAAAAAAACTCCCATATATCAGGTTTAACCTCCAACTAAAAACCAAATACCTTACATCTTCACAAAGATTACTTGATGAAGAAAATGGAAAAAATCATCACATGCAAAGAACAGATCCCTTCCAAATCCCTAATTTTGAGTTGTCAATGGAACAGGAATAGAAAGGAGTCAATCAAGGTGACACTTTTTGCAGGAACAGCCATCTCATTTTGCAGAGTTTCTTCATTTCCTGTTGTGTCCATGAGGAAGGACATGGAAGTGGATCTCCATAATGTGAAAGGAATGGCCAAAAAAAAAACCTTACATGGATTTGAGCCTTATAGCAATAATGTTTTCCACTTGATTATATGGGACATTTTCATGTTTACACAAGGTGTTCATACGCTTTTGGCCCATTAAAATCAACATTAGTCTTTCATAAATCTATATTATCATTTATGTTACTCATTTCTAGATAGCTTCCATTTATGAAATTATTTTATACCACATCTTATAAATGTCTCTTATCAATGCTGCAGATATCGTTCCAACACGGGAAGCAAATATTACAGCTCTATGCTTACAGCGCCTTTTAAAAAATGATACAATGATGGCTTTACATCAGTCTATTGATGCTGCATCATTCATTTATAAGTGTGTAAATGGCAACGAAGACTTAGAAATTATCCGGCTTAGCAATTCTAAGACTCATGAATGCCAACATTCTGGTCTAGGTACATCAATCACAATTATTTTGTGTAGTTGTTTCTGCACTATATGACTGTTAAGCCACAGCGGAGCATTTGTCTTTGTGCCAGAGACGTCATCATACTTTATATCAGTACCACCATTTTCCTTTTGATCACTGAGACATTCAATGAAATTGATCTCCTTTGTCTGTAATGAAAAGTCCAGCATTGTAATTTTTTTAAATATTTGTATTTTGTTATAATTTTTTGTAATGGTATTGGCTAACGATCATTAGCAATGTGCCTTCCATGTTAAGCTTTTTCCAGCCTGATTTCCCTATGCTATTTTTTCTAATCTGTGTATCTGTGGAACTTGTGGAATAATAAATGTTTTTAAAAAGTGTTCACAATAAATTGATTTGGAACCTTCTAATTGATGTCGGGTCTTTTGTTTGCAATTTTAACTCCTTATCTATGTGCTGAAGTGCGCTTCTGAAAATGGGTAATTACGGAACGCTGTTCATTTATAAAGAATGCAGTTATGTAGTCAAATAAAAGAAAGCATTTAATTAGGTTTAATTCACAAAGCTGACGCAACAGGATAAAGATACTTATTTTCAAATAAGTGACAGTTATTTTTATTTGAGTCTAATAATATTTGAAAACAAGACATGCTGCTAAAATAATTATT